TTGGTGGATGCTACTGCCCGCTGAGTGTGACAGCTGGGTGTCCGTCTGCTGCTTTGGCAGCTTAAGTAGGAGTGGCTGGGGGCAGTAAAAACCACCACGCAGCCGTGGTGCTTGATTTTATACACCTGAATCCAATGATTTGGAGGGGTGTCCCAATACTCTTGGCAATATAGTGTAACGGTGATTGGTCACAGTTATCATATGGTACAGGGCTGCAGTGATTGGCCCTATTCCATGTGATCTGTGACCAGAGGGATCACAGTAGTAAACAATATCATGAATGACAGCCATTGTTTACTACTTACTACGATCTCTATGATTGGTCACAGCAGTCACATAATACAGAGCCAATCACAGCGGCCCTATACCCTGATCTCTGATCACACAGATTGTGCTCCTGAGTTTGTGCACAAACGACCGATGTGAGAGAATGTAGGGTACTATCTTTGCTGACCATTCCTAAAATTGCTAATTGCTTAGTAGTCATGCCAATCAAATTGCTTAAGTATTTTCCCAGTCATTGACCTGGAGCAGCTATGCAGATTATAAGTATAAAGTTCACTTAGGCATACTTCACACGGCTGTATACAAGCGGCTGTGGCAACAGTAAGCACATTCTTGCCAGCCGTTTTTAAAATATGCATGTACAGTGTGCGTGGTAAGCAGCAGCTGTCAGATTTGTACTCCATACAAATAGCTGGTGCCACTGTGGTTTGGATGTGACTGCTCATGCGAACAGAGTCCCTGACCAACCTTGGACGCAGACAGTGCGCATCTGGGATCATCGTGTCTGGCTGGCTAGTTTGTATGTGATCACAGCACACAGTGCAGCTGCATTCAGCTGCCACTGGAAACAGCAAACTGTCTACCCCTCATCGCCTGTCTGAATGTAGCCTTAAAAGAAAACTATACCGAAAAACAAAAAATTTAACATATTGCGGCTTACCAGTTCTTAAAGATGTGAATAACTGCTTTAGTTTTGTCAGGCCAAAAACATTTTCAACAAATACCGGTTGATCTTGCCAGAAATGCAGTATCTCTGTCACGTGCCATACAGGTTTATTTTTCTTCTGTAAACTACTAACCCTATCAAGCCCTGATGTAATAGTGCCCTCCCTTATGGGAGAGAGCCCCTGAAAACATTATGTTTTCTAATTTATGTACACACATTGCCACAATAAACAAAGAATCACTATGATAATGCAGTAAGTTTGGCTGTCACCAATTGTACTTAAACAGCTTATAAATATTTACAATCTGATTCTATTACCAAAACTATGCAGCAGGAATTGAGTTGCGCAATGTTTTTGGTAGATACGAGTAAAGTAGTAGAGAATAAAGTAAATGGTATGTTCAATCAAATGGTAACCTGTGTGGCCAGTTTAAAGTGAACCTGGGCATGTTATTTTGCAAACTACACATATTATTTCCTAAATGGACACATCAGGAGATCACTGGGTCAGGAGGCTGGTATATAAACAACACATTCCATTTTGTCTGGCAAGGTCACAATAAAGCCTAAAGGAGTATAAAAAGGAAGAAACACATCTTTTAAACGGTTTTTAATAAAAAAAAAATAAACATATACATGTGAACATACTGTACAATACTACATTGCCGTGACAAAATTTTTTTCCCTAGTGGAGTTAATGGATACTGGATAGACCAACATTCAAGCATATTTTCTGCTGTCATCTGCAAATGGCTGTCATCCTTTTAAAATTGCATTTGAATCCCCATTTATATGTACCATTTGTTGGAGGGGCAGCACTCTAACCCACTACATGAAATAAATTAAAAGGGCAACTCCACACAAACAGTGGAAATGTGTGGGATATTTCAACGAAGAGTTAGCTGTATACATGGCATTTACCTATGCGCTTTTTAGCCTCGCTCATAGTGCAGGTGGAAACCGCTGCAGGACCCACACTTCATCCCGCAGCTGCAACCACCAGCACACAAGACGCTGGACCTGCAAGTGCCAATATTCCTAATGGCATGGTAAGCGCTCAGGAAATTGCACGTGCGGTTCCAAGTGCGGCTGCAATTTCTGGAAAGGTGCAGGGACCTTTTTCCTGCGTTTTGCAAGGCACAGCAGCCCATTCAAATGAATGCACTGCTGTGCCGCATCCCATTCAAATGAATGCACTGCTGTGCCGCATGCCACAAGACCACACTAGTGTGAACCGAGCATAAATCTTCTAATTTTCTGTGTAAAGCTGAACTACACTGCATCTGGGCATCACAAACCAAAAAAGCTATTTAATACATTTTTAATATACAAAGAAAACTCATTCATCTAGGTCTCCATGATTTACTTTGATGAGAAAACTGACCCCCTAAAATTTCTATCTGTAGCCATCTTGAGTAAGCTCAGGCACGCAGGTATCAGAGTGTGAGAAATCACCTCATCTCCTGAAGACTCCTGGGATGTAAGACATAATTTGCATAGGCCTGAAAACCAGGAAGTAACTGAAGAAATTTGAAACAAACTTAAAACAAGTACATATGAAATACGTTATTATTTACTCATGCTAGCAGCATAAGGACTAAAAATAATCAATGTTTATTGAGTGAGTGAAGTTTTGCTTTAATATTTCCAGTGCCATGTCTTAAAAGTAACTACAGCCCAAATCAACCATAGTATTGTATATGTCCTAACAAACTTTTATGGAGGGAAATACTGGAGCAAGGAATGTGCTGGAGCAAGAAGTCAATAAGGGCTCTTTCACATGGGCTGTCAACTCCATTCAGCACAGAATCAATGAGCAGATCTTCTGCTGAATAGGCCAAATGTACGTTTTTGACATACCATTCAGTTTGTCTGCATTTTGACAGCAGACAGGGGCAGAACCATGATGGCTCTATGGATGTAAAGACAGCCACAGTCTAAGAGAAACCTTTCCCCTTGCAGATTCAGAACAGGACCCTTTGCTCTGTGTGCTTTCTCTGCAGAGGTATGACAAACCCCTTGCTGAGAAAGAGCTAGACCTCTCCAATCAGCAGGGGGCATGAGCTTTACAGATTACAGATCTATAGGTCTGACTGAGCAGTGAGACCTTGAACCTCTGCAGAGAACTACTACACGAAGAGTAAGTATCCTTTTTTTGCAGCATGCTGACAGGGTACAAGCTTTTCTACTCTGGATGTGGAAGTTTTATAAAGAAAATAATCTATAAATCTTTGATGACCTTTCATTTTTAGAGACCTGGAATGTGGTTAGCGAATTTAAACTAAAAGTTGAGTTGGGCTTTAAAAAGGCACAGTTCATGTTTTGCACAATGTACCCACATTATTAAAATAAAAAGTATGCATTTATCAGATTTTTGTATTAAATCATGCAGAGCATTGCAACTATGATCTCTCAGGTGCATTGCACAGGCCCTTGTTTTGTTTACATCCCAGCCCCAAGTTAGTACAGACTGCTATGGGGCTAGTAGCAGTAAACAAAGGACAAGTGTGTGAGTGTCTTCCGATTCATAAAAGCCTAGTAGAGTAAGCCGTTCATGAAACACAATGACCTGTAAATTTGGTACTTTTATTCTGGAGAAAGCATAAACACCGATCAAAAACAAAATAAAGACCAATTATACTCTAGCTTGGTAAGGAGCTAGGTTCCCCCTTACTCCCAATACATAAAAGTAGCAGTAACATGAAAGAATAGCAGAGCACAAAGATAAAATAACAAAATCAGCCTTTTGCTGCAATACTCGCCTTCCATTCAAAAATTTCCCACGCAGTACTTTTTTTTTTTTTTTTTTTTTCTGTCACTTGACGCCATCGATCTGATGGCCAGCATCATACAACCCCCTTCCTCTGAGACCAGGTCGACCTGAACCTACCTTATCCTGTGACTGAACAGTGAAAAGAGAAGCAGTACATTAATCTCTCCACAAACTTCTCATCAGTGCATTAACTGGTTGGCTCATTGTGCTTCTCTTTACTATTACACCTCAGCTCTGCTTTACAGGAACTGCAAAAGGTGGATACCAGGACAAATTAAAGTACATACACTGCTTCCATTTAAAAAAAAATGTATTTACTAATATAGTAATGATTACAGAGCTGCATTAATTTGTGTCTTTTGTATCTGCCTGGAGTTAAAGGCATATTTTTTTAAACTAAAATAAAAAAAACGTGATGCTTCCCCGCTCTGTGCAATGATATTGTACAGACAGCCGTTTACCTCCTCTCCTGCGTGTGCCCCCAAAGGAAATTGTGTGCTATGGGGGGGATAGGAGGGAGCACGACACCATAGACACACAGTGCAGCTTAGCCATGCCCCCATTAACTCCTCACTGAATTTGGCTGAAAGCAAAAGGAGCCAATGGCTCCCGCTGCTGCCCGTGTCTCCTTTGAGAAGAGGAGAGCAGGGTTGCAGCTGTGAACTGCACTCTATCAATAGAGGAATCGGGTAAGTGCTTAGGGACAGGGAGGGGGGTAATTCGCATTGGAACATTTTTTTATCTTAATGCGTAGAATACATTAGGGTAAAACAAGTGAAGACTGCAGGACCACTTTAAGCTTTAAGGCATGCTAAGGGGGACTCTCTGTCATCATTGCCAAAAATAATTATTTTGTGCCTGATATACTATTGCACGTTGGTGAATTGGGATGGCGTCCAAGGACAAAATCTTCTTAACAGCATCGATACAGACAAATCCAAATTTCATCTGCACAGCTCACATTTTTGAATGGAACTGAACAAAGCAAATGCACAATTTTTAAATAGTATCTAGCAAAGTATTTTGTATACAATACCTTAAAGGTTATTTCCAGTAAAACTACTTACTTGTGGCACATTGCAAAAGTAAACAGGGCACATAATCAGATAACTTTTTTGGACTGTGTAATTTATGATCTTCCATATATTGACATATGTGAAAAATATGCACAAAAATGCCCATTACGTCCATATATTTCCTGGGCAATGTAAAGTAGCAAAAATGAAACAAAAAAAAAAAAAAAAGAAAATTCAATTTAAAAGCCAACGGCTCCAGTCAACTGTCCATTTCTTGAATTTCACTGGTAGCTGCACCACAAAGGGTATCAGATAGTTCAGAAAAGTCTATGTCAGGCAAAGGAGTTCTCCAGTACTGGAATGAGTTGTACTCTGGAAAGGCTTCATCGTTCTGAGAACACAAAAAAGGAAAGCACAAATATTAGAGGTCTAGAGAGGTTTTCATTTATCCAGGCCATGGTATAGCAAGCGTCAGTTAGCTAGAAAATATTTGTCTCAGTGAGGTTGCTGACTTGCAAATGAGGTACATGGGAAAAAAAAAAAAGTTACGCTGGTAACTGTAAGCACCCAACCAGTGACTGACCTCTCAAGTACTGTAAGGAGGGAAATAGAGTGTCAAGTGTTTACCTTTATCATGAAGTTTTGGGTATTACTCTGGGCTGAAGCATTGGATGAGGGTGACAAGGAAGTGCCGGAAAGGTACAGCAAAGCTGTTGGCTCTGCCTCCCTTATGGGCAAAATAGAAATTTGCTCTAATGCTTTCATGAATATCATGCTATACAGATATCACTCAAATATACTGTCAAAATTTCCCCCAGGGGTGTGGAAATTTTTAAAAAAGCTACTTGTCCAAGGAATTAAATCGGGGTCCCAATCTACATCTCCCTCATGACAATCTACTTCGGGGGTCTGCAACCAGTAAATCATGATCTACCAGTAGATCTCGGCCAGGTGACTGGTAGATCACGGTCTGGGCTTGCTGTCCCTGCCATTCCAGAGAATCAAACAGAGTGCAAAGCAGAGGGACTACTTGTAAAGTGTAGTAGTATGTAGTAGATACATAAGCCAATGCCTCCTCTGTAGTGCTGGCTCCTGTCCCATGCGGAGTGATACCAACTGCATTCCACCTCTTATCCTGGCTAACGGTCTCCAGAGTGGTGCCAGCAGAAGGAAAGAAGAGATTGTCAGGCCAGTGTGAAGTAATACACTGGGCATAAGAATATAGGGTTGCTTTCACACTGATGTTCTACAATTTACCCACACTGCACCTTTCCTACGGGTTTGCTGCACTTAGCTATAGACTTCTATTATATCCTGCGGGTTTGGTGCACCTCCTGAATGCAGGAAATTTGGTGTGCTTTCAGAAAGTGCACCACACCTGCAGTTATAATGCGAGGTAGTATCAAAAAGCTAAGACTAGTTTTGTAACACACCAACAGATGGCAGCATGCACAGTCACAGGGAGCACCAATCTTCATAAGTCAGTGTGCCAAAAGACATTGTTCTGTGTACATTGGGAGCTGTGCAACTGCCACTATTTCGGACGACGTGTGTTATCATGTCTGCCATTTCATCATGGCCAGCAAGTTAGAACAAAGAGCAAACATGAAATGCTGCGTAAAACTAGGCAAATCTGCCACAGACACATTTGACATGATTCAACAAGTTTACAGCGATGCTGCAATGAGGCGCCGAGGAGTTTTGAGTGGCATGTGCACTTCAAGAGCAGAAGAACATCACTGGAAGATGATGAGAAATCAGGAAGACCTTCAAAGAGCTCAACCCTCCAAAATGCCCTCTTCCTGAAGATGAAGATCCAGCTCAAAGGTCGCCGTTTTGTCAACATTGCAGAGCTTCAGCGATTTGCCCAGTGATCCAAGTGCGTTTGACAGGTGGTGAAGAGGCGATATGTTGTCTCCTCACCACCTGATTTAAACCCATGATTGCCATGCAATGCACTTGATTGCAAAATGGCAGTATGGCAATCAGATGTTTAAATCAAGTGTGAGGAGGTGACACTGTGCCCGGTGATCTTTGACTTCTTCCATGTTGTTGAGGTAGATCTCCACCTCTTTAAGGTTGCCTACCCCTGATCTACTTGTCCTGATAAAAAAATAAATAAATTTAACCAAAACCATACTTAAATAAGGTTTTAACATTGTGCTGTTTATCTCCTACTCACCTCCCTGCTTGTCTCCAGCACCTCACGCAGGGAGTAGCAGAGAGAGGAGAGACCTTGCAGTGTCATAAGCAACCATTGGGTGCTCATCAGAAAAGAGGAGTGTTGGGCTCTCTCAATGCTCAGCACATCCGCTGAGTGAGTACATGAGGTGCAGGTCTCAATGAAAAAAAAAACAACTTTATTCCTTCAGGTTACCCTCACAAACAGAAGCACTTGGGTACTTAGTACAAGCGCATGCTGAGCAGCCAAATCATGTTCCAGTGTCCGCTCTGTGAGGCTCTATTCACACCTGGGTGTCACAGCAGAATAGCCATGATTCTGCCCACAATCTCAAAAACGCACTACAAAACGCAAAGTGCACGTTCAAGTGCCATTATTTTCAATGGCAAATGCTATGCAGTTTTGCCATGATTGTCACACAGAAAATCGTGTGGAAAATTGTATTATGTTAAAACTATCGCCCAAAAAGGAGCAGGAGCTTCTTTAGAGTGACAAACTTCACGTGATTTACCACGATTGCCATGCAATTTATTGCACTGCTTTTTAGGTGCCATTTAAAAAAATAAATGGCACCTGAACTTTCATTTTGCAATTGCAGTTCATTTTGACAGCACAGGCAGAATTGCAGTGATTCTGCCATAATCCCAAAATGCCTAGGTGTGAATGGAGCCTTAGTCCTGATTCACACTGATGTGAATATGATGCAGATCAGATGCAATCCAAAAAGAAGATTCACATGGCATCTGAAAATACATTGTTTCTATAAATGACATTCACATCTATGCAGTGCAATTTTGATCTCGTTAAAAAAAAAAAAAAAAAAAAAAAAAAAGTGTCTTGTGCGAATTTAGAGCTGTGCGTTCCAAACTCGCACAGCATAGAGTATAGTGGCATTCTGACAAAACTGTTCAAATAAGATGCAATTCATAGAAGTGGCTAGAATATATATTTGCAAAAAAATGGAAGGAAGGCAGTTTAGTAGAGAAAAGGATGGATGGCATTCCTAGCATATAAAGGCAGATTGAAAAATCACAGTAGTACTAAATTTGCATTGAACAAAGGGGTATTCACAATCACATCCCTGAATTGTAGTAGAATTGCATCTGACTCACACCTGAACCTACTTCCTTTGACTGTCGCACTAAAAACTTACATGAAAATCGCACCGCATAAAGTAAACTCTACTACTTGGCCACAACAGGCCTAAATGTAAAAAACAAAACACCACAAAAAAAAACACCTGCCTGGCACTGCAATATGATTTGCACATCCCTGTTCCCCTAATAAAAAGATCACTATTTTAATGTGCCAAAACCCATGAACTCCAAAAATTAGCTTTAAAAACAAAAGAGCATGCATTTTTTTTGCACATTATAGACTGCAATCGTCACACTTCATAATTTTGAGTTCCAGAGCCTAACAGAGATGCATACTGCAGGTCTGTACCAATATATAGGTTTAACCCTCTCTCTGTCAAAGCTATATATTTTCTGAAAGCAGGCCCTGAAGTATAAAATGGTGGCAGTTTATTTTTTTTTATGTCACATAATAATTGCAGCTACTGTTTATCAAAACTATAATTTCCTCAAAAAACACATTTTTAATGCACACAAATATAATTTTTTTTGTTAACATAAAAGATTAGGCTGCATTGAGTAAATACAGTGGGTATAAAAAGTCTACACACCCCTGTTAAAATGTCAGGTTTCTGTGATGTAAAAAAAAATGAGACAAAGATAAATCATTTCAGAACTGTCGACATTTATATCACTGTTACTTATATATATATCACCTATTTAAGGTGACCCATATCCCTGCACAGGGAATCACTGTGTGTCACAGCAATATTGGAATGATCACTTGGATATATATATATATATATATATATATATATGTGTTTGAGTTATACTGCACTAATCACCTATAAATGTCACAAGTATAAGTTTGGTTGACTGTATATTGATATTAATATTGTGGAAGCAGCAGTGTTGTACCTAACCAAAGGGTCATAATTATAATTATAGCGCTACATCACTATCATACTAGTTAATCTGTTAGTATTACATTATTGCATCAAACCATTTCACATACATTTTGTCCCTACTGCTTTGTCCTGTGCCCTGCCTGCACTTTTACCGTTCTTTCTGCCTGGAAACTTGAGAACGTCCATGGTGTCCAAAAAGCATCCCTTTAGGTCAAATGCAGCTTTAGACCAGCTAGAAAACAGTGATCGTGATTTAGAATCACTTGCAGAATTGAATGATAATGATTTGTGGGGAAATTTGTCATCAGACACTGAAAATGCTTCTACGACTGAGCTCAGCGATGTGCGAACTTGGTGCTCTATTTCAAATTTCAGTGTTTTTGATTTGATTACAAATGACCCTAAAAAATGTTGATTGGCTCTAGTTTCCATGATATATTCACCCATCTAATGACGTAAGCCATTCAAAATTATGATGCAACTTCAGCTGCATATTGCGCAATTGATACTGGTGACCAATAGAAAATTGCATGTATACTGAGATGATGCAATATTAGCCTTTAATTGCATCACTTCACTGCATAAAAGCTGCAGTATCTGTAGCTGATTGTAGTTCGACAGCGTCTTTACATTTCGTTTTACGCTTATATAGGCTACTCAGTAATGCCTCGAACTTGTGTGAATAAAGCAGATAATTTCTGCTATATCTGCGGTGAAATAACTTTTATCTCACAAAAAAGGAGGATAACAGGAATGATTAAGAAAGCCTACAACTTGTATTTTGGCTGCAAGATAGGAGACCAGGACAAGAGCTGGGCACCACATATATGCTGCAATTCTTGTGGGACGGCACTGGAGCAATGGTTGAATGGAAAAAAAAAAAATCTATGCCTTTCGCTGTGCCAATGATTTGGAGAGAGCCAACAGATCATGTTAGTAATTGTTACTTTTGTATGGTGCCTCCAATTGTAAAAGGGCTAAATAAGAAGAAAAAGTTATCTGTGCACTATCCAAATATTCCATCGGCAATACGTCCAGTTCCTCATGGAGAGGGGCTACCAATTCCTAAAGCACCAGAATCCTTCGTGGTTGAGTCAAGTGAGGAAGAACCTGAAGCGTGTAGTCACGTGCAGTTGTAAGAGATAGCCCTTTCCTCGAATACAAGAGAAAAGCCAAGAGAAGCAAAACCGACACAAACTGAAGACAAAACTAGTGAGAATCCTAAGTATTAAAATGATTCAACTTAGCTTATGGCTATAATTTTTCTTGGTAATCCTATGCAATATATTATGCCATTTAGGCTTTGTTATGTAGTCAATATCACTTGCTTTATATTTGTGGAAAGACATCTATCTATATAATTATTGTGCATTATGTAGTCATTACGCCTATAGTAGAAAACTTTCCGTTTACAGAAAAACTAGAGCCAATTGACAAATTTCATTGTTATATTTGAACTCAAAATGTGAAATTCATTAAGAAATTGATCCTTTTGTTTCCAAAACTGGCAAAAAATAAAAATTTGTTGAACAGTGTAATTAATTATATTATAATTTATTTAGTGTTTCAAACTTTATCATACCCGGGATGTTTACTAGACTCTTGTTTGGACAGGTTTCAGTGAGTTATTCCTAAGAATTACAGGCCTACAATATAAAACAACAAATTTCCATGCAAAACAATGTACTGCTTTGACATTCAAAAATATTGAATAGCTAGACCACCAGGGAGGTTAATGTAACCTATAAACTGTACAACTCAGTTGAACAACAAACTGAAATTTTTAAAGTGGAAGTAAAAATAAAAAACTAAAATATGGTTGCATAAGTGTGCACACCCTTAAACTAATACTTTGTTGATTTTATTCCAGCACTCAGTCTTTTTGGGTATGAGTCTATCAGCATGGCACATCATGACTTGGCAATATTCGCCCATTCTTCCTTGCAAAAACACTCCATATCTGTCAGATTGCGAGGGCATCTCCTGTACACAGCCCTCTTTAGATCACCCCACAGATTTTCGATCGGATTCAGGTCTGAGCTCTGGCTGGGTCATTCCAAAACTTTAATCTTCTTCTGGTGAAGCCATTCCTTTGTTGATTTGAATGTATGCTTTGGGTCATTGTCATGCTGAAAGATGAAGTTCCTCTTCATGTTCAACTTTCTAGCAGAAGCCTGAATGTTTTGTGCCAATATTGACTGGTATTTGGAACTGTTCATAATTCCCTCTACCTTGACTAAGGTCCCAGTTCCAGCTGAAGAAAAACAGCCCCAAAGCATGAAGCTGCCACGACCATGATTCACAGTGGGTATGGTGCTCTTTTGGTGATGTGCAGTGTTGTTTTTGTGCCAAGCATATGTCTTTTGGAATTATGCCAAAAAGTTCAATCTTGGTTTCATCAGACCATAACACATTTTCCCACATTTTACTCCCTGCCCCCCTCCTAAAAGATTTCAGTTTGTTTTTCAACTGAGTTGTACAGTTTATAGAGCACATAAAAGGTGGAAAAAGTTCTGAAATGATTTATCTTTGTCTCATTTTTTTACATCGCAGAAACCTGACATTTTAACAGGGATGTGTAGAATTTTTATATCCACTGTAGACATCAAATATATCAAGCCCCAAAATTACATGCACTCATGAAACCGTAAAAAAAAAAATTGGTGTTTGGGAGTGTCCATAGGCAATGCTTTAAAAGCCTTCACAGCAATCAACTTTGAGTTAAAGTGTTTGTAAAGGCTCAGGTTTTTTTTACCTTCATGCATTCTATAAATGAAGGTTAAAAATCCTTCTGTGTGCAGCAGTGCCCCAGCCCCTCCTAATACTTACCTGAGCCTCATAGCGATCCAGCCATGTGAACCACAGCCTCGGTTGTCCTAGGTCTCTGCATCCTCAATGACTGAGAATGCTGTCAATCACAGCCAGTTAGCCAATGAGGAGACATGGAGGCGGGGCCAAGCCATGGCTCCATGCGTGAATGGACACACGGAACCGCGGGTGTATCCATAGTAAGCTGCTTGCTCTGAGGGCACCCGACAGGAGGAAGGGGCCAGGAGAGCCTGCGGGGACCCGAGAAGAGGAGAATCCAGGCTGCTTTGTGCAAAACCACTGCACACAGTAGGTAGGTAGAACATGTTTGTTATAATCCAAAGAAAAAAAAAATGAACCTGTAGAATCCCTTTAACAGTGAATGATGACCCTAGAATTACTGCTCTCATTCTGGCATGCACACAAAATACCCAAGATGTTTGGCACAATTATAGATTTGCACACCCCCAAATGCACATTTGCATGTATGTGGGGTTGGGGGGATTTTAAAATGTTTTGGGATGTTTGTTTGCAAGGCACCCAGAAGTCACAAGTGAGCCCAAGACACATGGTGGCACATTCCCAGATGTGAAAAAATGTAATCAGGGGGGGCTTTACAGCTGCCTGCAGCACTTTCACAATAAAGCCAGCAGCAAAATAGGCAAACAGCTGGGTGTGTTGTTTACATGGCGGTGCTGCCACCACTGTAATAGTTACAGAGGTGGCAAGGAGAAAGGTAAATATCACCTAAAGTCCAACAGTGTGTGCAGTTAAAGTGGCTCTGAAGCCAGATGTTTTGTTATTAACTTAATGCATTACCTGCATCAAGATAAAAAACCTTCCACAAGTTGTACCCCCCACCCTAAATACTTATCCAAGTCCTCTATCGATCCAGGGATGTACACATCAGCAACAGCGCTGGTTCTCTTTCTCTCCTGTCACAGGAAGCAGTAAGGGCTTTGGCTGCTAATGCTGTCAATCAGGTGCAGACACGTTGTCTGTCTCTGCCAGTCTATGCACATGTGCAGACACGCTGCAAGTCTGTCAGGTTCCAAACACACCATGGGTCTCTGCCAGGTCCTATAGACCTGGGGCCTGTCTGTTCATGTGAGAGAGATGCACAGATGTTACACAGCATTCTCATCTAGGCAAAAGTAAATAAACTAAAAATATTTTAAAAATACTTGTTTTTGTTTTTTATTTTTAAATCCAATCGCTTAGGGAGAGGGGAAAAAATGAGAAGTCCTTTTCAGGGGCGATGGCCTGCTTTAAAGGAAAAGTACATTTTTCCCAGAAAATAGCCTTTGCAGTCATAGATAATAAAAATCTGTGCAGGTTTTAAAATGATCATTAAAACTGTTGGATGCTCACTCCCAGCATTGCAGGAGTGAAAACAGAGAGCTTTCACATTGTAGCAACAAGGCAGGATGTGGGGTCACTAACTAGTTTTTTAGCCAGGCTTCTGAGGGGACCCAAATGGCCTACAATCAATAAGATTTATGATCATTTTACAAAGCTGCACAGATTCTGACAGTAGAGAGTCCCAGCTGTCAGAATACAATGCCCTAAGAGGGAGAGTCCTGCATCCACATCACTTGTGTGGAATCAGGAATCTTGTGTTTTCTTTTTTTTTTTAATCTAATTTCTTCATACATTTTGGCCAAAATGTATTCTGCTACATCTTTGCTTAAAAAAAAAAAAAAAAATCCCAATATGTGTCAATTAATTGGTTTACGTGAAAGTTATAGCGTCTACAAATGGCAGTGTATTATACTGGAATTTCTATTTATTTTTTTTATACTAGGTAAATGGTGGGGATCAATGACTGCAGTGGGCATTCTGACACTGGGTGGGAACTGACTAATGGTCACGGACATCTTCAGTGACACTAATACAATGATCAGTGCTAATAAAAAGCACTGACACTGTACTAATGACACTGGGCAGGAAGGAGTTAACATCTGGGGTGATCAAAGGGTTAACTGTGTGTTGTGCTTACACTGTGTGCTGTTTTACTAGAGAGATGTGCTGCTTTCTCTCTCTCTGCTGTGAAGAGAGAGAAAAGCAGAATGTCCAGGTTGACAGGACATAGATCTGTGTTGTGTACACAGATCTCTCCCGTCAGCTTTAGCATTGATCACCGAGTGCAGGCAGGACCTGGTGATTGACATCCGCTGCAACCAATAGCAGTGCGAGTAGGGCGGCGCGCGCGCCCCCTTACCTGTAAAATAACGTATATTTATGTGATTTTGCACAGAGCAGCCTCCCCGTAACAGTATATCTGCGATAGGGTGGTAGGTAAGCGGTTAATTAAAAATATGTATCAGAATACATATTGGCCTAAATTTTATTTAGAAATTTGATTTTTAATTTTTTTTTTTTATTGGATGTTTTAATCACAGAATGTAAAAAAAAATATTTTGAAATTTATTTTTTCATTTATTGCACAAAAAAAAAAATAAAAACTCAGTGGTTATCAAATACCACCAAAAGAAAGCTCTATTTGTATAAAAAAAAAACCTATATAAATTTGTGTACAGCGTTGCATGACCGTGCAATTGCCAGTTAAAGTAACACAGTGCCAAAAGGCAAAAAAAATGGCCTGGTCATGAAGGGGGTAAAACGTCCGCCAGTCAGGTGGTTAGGATGGCAGCTTCCTTGGCTGAAAAGGAGAGGAAGGTTTATGCAGGCCATACATGGTTTGAATTCTGAACGATTTGTCCTCTAAAGATCAAAACATCGTTCGTTCTGTAATCTGATGGTGCCACCAATGATTCCTAGATTGTAAGCTCTAAGGAGCAGGGCCCTCAAATCCCTCTTGTATTGAACTGTATTGTCTCCCGTTATATTGTAAAGCGCTGAGCAAACTGTTGGCGCTATATAAATCCTGTATAATAATAATAATTTTCGAAAATCGGTCATTTTTCATGAATTTTCCAGCATGTCCGATAAACGAAATGGGGAGGAACCACGAAAATCGGCCGATGCCATTGCCCCACTAACGAAGCAAAAATCGGGCGATTATTCTTAGGTCCAACTTTCGTACGAAAATCGTTGGGAATTCGCACCATGTATGGCCTGCAATGTTCTGCTTGGATTCCCTGATTATGTGATGAGGCTTGTGGATTTGGTATGTATAGACTGTCACACAGGAGCTGTTGGAAATGTCCTGGGCCCGGTTACCTGGCACTTGTACTGCAGCTCCTGGCTGTGCGAGTTCTCTGCCCCTCTCATCTTCTTGCAGGGAGGAGGGGAGGATGTAGTTGCTGGGAAAGGTGGGAGCACTCTCTCACACTCCTCCTCCGGGGGGGCGCTCTCAGGCTCCAGCTTTCTCTTCCTTACTGGGAATATTTGTACGACATCCGGGGTGCAGCGCTTGGAAGGCAGCGGCTTCTTACACGGAGGCAGCACGGTGACCAGGGACTGCAACTCACACTTTCTCTTCGTCATGTCCCTCAACACACAGCTCACGTGACCCACACTTGCGACGGCCTGCTCTGGTGACGGGGAAATGTTGTTTTTCCGGTCCGCCATACACAACTTCCCCGCTCTATAGAAAAGCACACTCTCCGCCTACACAGGGCACAGCGGCCTCTAGCGTCGCCTGGACGAACTGTAGCAACAGGGTCTGTGTGTTCCCGAGAAATGCCATGGAGGGATGCTTGGAAATAATAATGAGAAGAAGAAAAAGAAACAATTCAGTTCCAGAAGGTTTCCCCCCCTCATATCAGTCCATTTTTTGTCATACCACACTGCGCTACTTTAACTGGTGCTTAAACCCAGGAGCCTGCATTCACTATATCTGCTCTCCAGGGGCGGACTGACCATTTGGAAACTTGGGCACTGCCCAAGGGCCCGGGGTCAGTAGGGGGCCCCATGAGATGCCCCTGGTACCTTTTTCTTAGGCTTTTTTGAGTTTGGGCAAGGACACAGGGGCCCCATGATCCCCTATTGCCCGGGGGCTCCATGAGTTGTCGGTCCGCCCCTGCTTTGCAATTATTTTAGTAAATATAAACTGCTAAATTCCTTTTCTCATCAGCAGTTAGAGCAGTCTTGTGACTTCAGCAGAGCACTGGTTAAAGCTTGTAAGAGGAGTTTTCTTTCTGCTCTCGGAGGATGTGAAACCCCTGACCTCTGAACAGTGCTGATTGGCCCTGGGCTGTTCACATGCACTCTCCCAAGGAAAAAAAAAAAAAAAAAAACCTCTCTAGCAATACACACCAAACTGAGCATGTGACTACAGAGCAGCACAGTAGCTAAATGGTTAGCACTCCCACCTGGCAGTACTAGGGTCGTTGTTTCAAACCCCAACCATGACACCACCTGTTTGGAGTTTACGTGTTCTTCCTGTGCCTGCGTGGGTTTCAACTGGGTACTCTGGTTTCCTCCCACACTCCAAAGACATGCTGGTAGGTGAATTGGCTCCTGTCTAAATTGGCCCTAGTATGTGTATGTATGAATGTAAGTTAGGGACCTTAGATAGTACACCCCTTGAGGGTTAGGGACTGATGTGAATGTACAATATATATGTAAAGCACTGCGTAAATTGACGGCGCTATATAAGTACCTGAAATAAATAAAATAATTCAGGCTGTATCAGGTGGACCTTTGTACAAGAGAAGAGGCAGATAAGACAGGATCAAACAGCCTGTTAACACAATGCAGAGGATTAACCCCTTAGGTTCCACAGTGAGTATAACAAGCATGCTTTACTGCATATACAGACTGATTTTACTGTTGTGGGCTTAGTAACACTTTAAGCAGTGATGCAACGCTGTACCCATATGAAATTTATATCATGTTTTACACACAAATAGAGCATTTGATCACCAATGTTTTTTTTTTTCTTTTTTTGCAATAGAAACTAAAGAAAAAATTCTGAAAAGTTTGCAAAAAAAAAACATTTTCTACTTTCTTTTATAAAAATATCCAAAAAAGCTCAATTTTCTCCATAAATTTAGGCCAGAATGTATTTTGCTACATGTCTTTGATAAAAAAAAAAAAAAAATCAAATAAGTGTAAATGTATTGGTTTGCATGACAGTCCTAGCATGTACAAACTATGGTAAATATACTGGATTGTTTTTAATACCACTAATGGCTGCGATCAATGACTTATAATGAGACTGCAGGAGTGTGACGGGCAATCTGACACTAACCGACACTGACTAACTGCCGCTGACTTTATCAATGACAATTATACAGTGATCAGTGATAATATTATACAGTGTCATTGTACTAATGACACTGGCTGGGAAGGGATTAACATCTAGGGCAGTCTAGGGGTGAATGCGTGCCCAACTACACTATATTGCCAAAAGTATTGGAACCCCCCTCCAAATCATTGGATTCAGGTGTTCCAATCACCTCCATGGCCACAGATGTATAAAATCAAGCACCTAGGCATGCAGATTACTTCTACAAACATTTGTGAAAGAATGGGTCACTCTCAGGAGCTCAGTGAATTCAAGCATGGTACTGTGATAGGTTGCCACTTGTGCAATAAGTCCATCCGTGAAATTTCCTTGCTACTAAATATTCCATGTAAGATCAAAGCAGAAAAGCGAGCACTAAAACAATGAACAGCTGAAGCGCCATAAAGGTAACCAAAAACAACCTACAAGACAATATGATAAATATAGGTGTAGCACTAAAATATATGACGACAGAATTTTCCAATGTGATGTGATCATACGCAATAAATATATATGAATAAAAGTTTATGCAAAAAAAATGAATAGTTATTGGTATTCAAACATAAAGTGACAAAGTGCAAGTAATGTGCTAATATATCATTTCCACAATAAAGTGCTAATATAGTGATAATTGTGAGCACATAATAGTGCTAAAGTATCAAAATCCAATATATGACAAGAAAAATGTCCATAAAGTGCTAATTGTGAAGATCCATCCAAGAATGATCTTAAGGTGAGTGCTTCGTATACTCTAACGATTATTCGGTGATGTGCCAGGAATATGTTAAGATTACTCACTCACCAGATGCGTAATAATATGCATTTGCATATAATGTCAGCCGGAGGTCCCCTAAAGGAAGCTTCATGAGCTAACAAATCTACAGAGCCCATTCTGGAGGACGGCTGAGGTGCTGCAGATAACCCAGGGGAAGGGGATCTCTCTGACCAGACCAGGCTGTATACATCCTTAAGGGACATCCGGCTGACATTATATACAAATGCGTATTATTATTACGCATCTGTTGAGTGCATAATCTTAACATATTCCTGATTGGAACACCTTTATCCAATGATTTGGAGGGGTGTCCCAATACTTTTGGCAATATAGTGTATGTGTGCTTAGGCATACTTGCTGTTTCTGTCCCTGTTATGGAAATTCGCCCTCTCCATTTGTACTAGTGACCATTATCAGTGAAATAACATTTCACATCTACACCTGAAGAGGAAGAGAGAAATCTTCCAATGGCGACACAAATTCTGGTGAAAACGAAGGATTCATTCACTTTGGAGGAATTTCCTCTCACTTTCTGTTTGGCTATTACACAGGAAGTGAAAGGAAATCTCTCCAGTGGGACAGAGATGGCAAAAAAAACTGACAGGGGTTATAACGGTCCCTTACTTTATCCAAAAAAAAGAAAAAAGTTTTGCTTTCAGTTCTACTTTAACAAGTTACCCCCCCCCCCCCCTTGCGGCAGGGCAGTGCAGTGCAGGGAAATGCTGTCAACTTTTGAATCCAGCTCGATGCTGCTTGCAGGATACTTTTTCATACATTTGTGACGGCTCAGGAATGACACTGGAATTCACATGTCAAAAAAAGGAACAGCTGTGCCTAATGCCAGTTCTTTCCTGTGCAGTTCTGCAATATTGAAAAACTGCCCTGTACCTGGGGAGATGAACTACCCAGCCTGTGTGATTGGGAGTAATGTTGTAGATACTGTAAATAACAGGACACTAGGCGGGTACGTCTATGCTACTTCTATATATTGTATATGTGAAGTCATCGCTATTAGAATATATGAAAGAACAGAGAGGACCGAAAGTGTATCCAAACCCTGAAAATGTAGTATACTGTATTGCATATTTACAATATGGCTTGCCAAAAAATGTCATTATTGTGGTAAAATTGTTTATACATTTTACAAACACATTGCATTCCATGACTGTTCAGCATAAAGCAGAACTCCAGCCAAAATACACTCACCGGCCACTTTATTAGGTACACCTTGCTAGTGCCAAGAAAATCTCCCCCACACCATTACACCACCACCACCATCCTGACCACTGATACAAGGCAGGATGGATCCATGCTTTCATGTTGTTTACGCCAAATTCTGACCCTACCATCTGAATGTCGCACAAACCAGTCTGCCCATTCTCCTCTGACCTCTGACAATAACTAGACATTTTCCTCCACACATCTGCCTCACACTGGATATTTTCTCTTTTTCGGACCATTCCCTGTAAACCCTAGAGATAGCTGTGCGTGAAAATCCCAGTAGATCAGCACTTTGAAATACTCAGACCAACCATTCTGGCACCAACAACCATGCCATGTTCAAAGTCACCTAAATCCCCATTCTGATGTTCGGTTTGAACTTCAGCAAGTCATTTTCACCACGTCTACATGCCTAATAGCATTGAGTTGCTGCCATGTGATTGGCTGATTAGCAATTTGTGTTACCAAGCAATTGAACAGGTGTGCGTAATAAAGTGGCCGGTGAGTGTATGTTACAAATAGTCCATTAAAAGATAAAAATCAACTTTCTTTTGCAATATTCACTTTCCCTCCAGAGAATTTACCCCCCTTCCTGACCAGGCCATTTTTTGCAATATGGCGCTGCTTTACTTTAACTGACAATTGTGCAGTCATGCAACAGTATACATAAATTAAATTTATGTCCCTTTTTTTCCCACAATAGAGCTTTCTTTCAGTGGTATTTGATCACCTGTGCGTTTTTTAGTTTTTGCGCTATAAACAGAAAAAGAACGACAATTTTGAAAAAAAAAACAATATTTTTGACTTTTTGCTATAAAACATATCCAGTAAAAAAATTTTAAAAATAAAATGTCTTCATAAATTTAGGTCATGTATTCTGCGACATGTCTTTGCTAAAAAAAAAAAAAAAAAAAACCCCAATACTTGTAAATTAATTGGTTTACGTGAAAGTTATAGCATCTACAAATGGCGGTATAGATATGGAATTTTTTTTTTCTATACTACTAATGGCGGCGATCAGCGACTTATAGTAGGAGTGCAGCATGCATTCTGACACTGGGTGGGAACTAACGGCCACGGACATCCCCAGTGGCACTAATACAGTGATCAGCGCTAATAACAAGCACTGACACTGTACTAATGACACTGGGCAGGAAGGGGTTAACATCTAGGGCGATCAAAGGGTTAACTGTGTGCTGTCTGTGTGTTTTAAATAGTGTGCTTTGTGTGATTTACTAGGGAGACAAGCTGCTTTGTATTGCTCTGCTTTGCAGAGCAATACAAAGCAGCATGTTCGTGCTTACAGGGGAGAGATCTGTGTGTTTACATACAGACCTCTCCACT